CTATATCTCGCCGTGGCTCTTAACGACCACATTCTATCTATCTCTGATTCTTACTGACTGATCTACCTGTGCGTACATTATACCGAATCTTCGCATTCCTAATGCTCACACGCACGCGCAATGATTGTAACACTTTCTATTTCCCTACATATTATTGCATGTGTTGCTTTAAGTTATTTACAATTCCCATAAATGCATGAACATCCGCAGTCTAGTCATTATATATGAACTTTTCTCTTAATTTTATTGCTTCTTTATACATTTATTTTTGGTAATATTTCTGAATTTTTATGAATTCAGCTCTCCACTTTACTTATTTTTAAATAAAGTCCGTCTTTGGGGCTCAAGATTAGAGACGTAGGATTGTTTATGTAGGGAATCATAGTCTTTTCGCAAACTTCTAATCGGAAATTTTCCAACATTTTTATTATTCCCACTTTCGTTTGATAGATGGCAAATCGCGCCGCTGAAACAGTAATTAATTAAAATTCTAACTAATAATATGTACTTAACATTGTAACTATTATGTTGGTCAAAAAGTAATCTCGTTTCTTGAAAATTATGAATATTCATACAATGTACGTAGTTGTACCTCAAACCTTTATCTATTTAATGTTGATCTTAACATGTCTAAAAAAATCACATAAGGACAATAATTATTATGGCATTATGTGAGCTCCATTGATCCATACAACTTTGTCCGTAAGTAATGCAATGTATCTTTAAAAACAATAAAGGTATTTCAAGTACAAACGTTAGCATCCTGTATATGCGATCAAATTGAAGGCAATACGTACTATGTGTGATTAAACTTGGACTGTGAACTTGAACACATGATTGAACAATTTTTAATTAAATTACCAATGCAATTCCTCGGTCCGTCACCGAATGGTAAATAACTCATGGAGTGTCTAGAGGCAATCTCCTCTTCGTTGAATCGCTCAGGATCGAATTTCTCCGGATTTGGATAGATATCAGGATCGTGTTGTATAGCATATGTAGGAATAAGTATTCGAGTACCCTTTGGGATCGTTACTTTGGTGCCATTAAAAGTATAATCACTAGTTGATTTCCTTATTAACGTTGTCCCCACAGGATATTTCCTAAGAGTCTCTAATGGAAAAGTTATTAAGTAGTAAACATTTTATAGACATTTCAAATTATTAATATATTATGGATTTTTATGCAAAATAACATATATATAGTTTCACGTTAAAAAATGTAATTTAATCCTTTCGCTACTACGACTGACTATAGTGCTCGCTACATACTACGGGTGACTTTAGTCACCGGTATAGAACGTACGCTATACACGACAGGTGACTATAGTCACCCATCACAAAATTTGAACTGGGCTTGCAGTTTCGGTCTTACAACATTTGAGACGAAATAATTGATCTCAAAGATTAAAAACCGTACGCGCAATGTGTACACTTTTTACCCCATTTCACTCCGCGGCGCGAACCGCCGCGCCGCCACTATTAACATATGCATTCTACCTTTGATGTTTTCTTTATTCTTATAGACTACATGTAGTGTTTCTATTATTTGCACTTTCAGTTTTCTTATAAATCCATAAAATCTGCAATCAAGTTATTAAATGAATATGAACAAAATTTTGATATTTTTTAATGCTTTCAGTTTTCGAAATCAAATAGAATTACGAATTGTATTCTCTTCTTCTATAATTTCCAAATGTAATATACATATATGGCATTTCATTTCATATAAGATTGTATTCCATTCAGAGTGAATATCTGTTAGATTGGATTTGAATGCTAAATTTCATTTTAACGTAATTGTAGAGATATGTTCAGATTTATGAAAAGGAATAAATCTTACGATCTTGAAAATTATACTGTTATAGCCCTATGTAAGGGCTATGCACCTTTTCATTTGTCACTTTCGTAAGATGTGCGCTTGGCGACAGCAAGCGAGTACCGGAATCTGGCAATTAATCATTTCAACATAAGTGAGCTCTCAATTTCAGACAAACCTAAAAATTGAGGCATGTCGAGATGATTAAATAATTACAGCGCAGGCTCGTAATCTCGGAGATTATAAATCCCGACAATGAGAGCAGTTCAGTTGAATTTTTGGTTTTCAACTAACGAGTCAAATTGCCATGGAAGGCCTTGCCCGAATCACGCTCAGCCAACAGGCAGTGTAGAGAGAATCTCCGAATTGCAAGATTTTTAATCGGTCTGATCACCTGTGTAAGACCACCATGCATTCGGAGTTTTCGTTATTTAATTCGTGAACAATTGGAGTCAGCACCACGCCCAATGACCGGCGAACACTGACTAGACTTACATTATTAAAATTATTCACTGGTATGTCAGTAAAACATTCAAGAATACATATATTACTTGTTATAACGCAATTATGTCAATCCTTATTTACCCTGCAATCCATCTTAGCGACATTAGTCAGTAAGGTCGAGGTGTGCTTACGCAGTTCAATCGGGCAAGAACCCACAATACGGGAGATAACAATATCATTATGTTATAAGCATTTCTTGATTGACGAGTAATTCTTCCTAATGGTAAATGTATATTTTTTTATTGATGGTTACCTTTGAATACTTTATTTAAGTATTTCATCTCTTTAATATCCTCGTACTGAAAATTTTTATTGTTTCTTTTAGAAAATTGCTTCAATTCAATCCTAAGTTTCTCTTGAATATCAAGATTCAGAGCCATTTCATAAAGCGCATGTCCTATTGTTATTGACGAGGTTTCAAATCCAGCTGCGAAGAAAAGGAAAGCTTGGGCAGCCAATAAAGTATCCGTTAACTCTGAAAAACATCAATTATGTACTTTCCTAGCCGTAGACATTGATTTTCAAAAGTATAGTAAATATTTCAATTTCTGTTCACTTCATTATTTCCACTGGAAATGGGACAATCACTATAATTACTAAAGTTCCGAAAGGAAATATATACATATGTATCAATAATACTAAAGTTAATGAAAAACGTTCAGACTTGTTTAAAAAAACCTATTTATAGCAATCAACACTGAAGAGTTGTGAGTGGGTAATCTTTTATAGCGAATGTTCAACTATATTGATTCAGCAATTAAAAAATGTCCCGTGCCATTAGACAAACAAAGTTGACCTACACATGAATGGCTCAAAAGCCAATCAATGTAAGTCCTTGAAATTGAAATAAATAGGAACATGATATCAGCTTCTTATCCGTGTGGAACGACTTGTAATTTATCTATGTGGTACGTGGATACGTAATCCAATAAATTATCAGTACAGATTATAGAGTAAAGTAGGACACGAAATATTCAAATAGAATGCGGAACAGAGAATTCTAGGTAAGCCAACAAGAAATTTGCAGTGTTTGTATGAAGGACATACCAACAACAGATACCCCTATCACCAGTATTACAAATGTATTTGGACAACTCCAGTTTTAGTCAGTAAATTACCGATCATTTCTATCCATAAATTTTTAGCCGATTGTCCAATCAGTAGCTATAAAGTATTGGCTAGAAAATCCTAGCCAGTTATTGGGAAAAACTGAGCACAGACAAGAACAGCCAATTATACTAGCAATCGGAATTTTGCCAATGTCGCAGTGTCATTTATTCACCAAAAAAGTATGACCATACCATAATTAAAGGCATATACTCTCTTAACTCGAAAATTCCATAGAGTGAATTTCGACATGCTCTTGTGGATTTACCGAGTAATCAGGTTGTACGCCAGGCTACAATTTTTACACATTTTTTGTCTAGAAGCACACAGGGTGAGCACATCATTATCTTATAGCTTCGGGCCGGCTTCGAATTATCGACATGAATCGATCGATGTCTTAATATGATCTGTATCAGAGCTACACGAAATAAACTCTTTGAATTGCTTACAACTCCGATTCTTCATAAGTGAATCCTTGTTTTTTGCAGTATTTCTTGCAATTACATCTTGCAGTTACATCTAACTATTCTGCTTTAACAGTTTTTTCAAAAATTGTACGGTGAAGTACCAGACATGATGTTACATGAATTCGCAGCTGGAAGTGGAGTAAAGAACAGACAAAGACAGACGAATGATCTGTCTCTGTCTTTTCTTTACAGTGATGTTACATATGTACATATGTGTATGACTGGGAGGAAACTTTTCGTTAACTTGCATGTCCTTGAATACATGGCAAGCATGTGTTTTGTGACTGGATCACTAAATGTTTAATACAAATGCCAGTTGGACATTTAAAGAAAGCATGACCTTTCGATTCTCGACACCTACTCATTTGAATATCGAAGAATAGGTTCACTTAAAATCGTATGAGCCTTTACGATGATAGATGTTATTTAAATTAGACATTAAATTAATAAAACACTGTAAAAAATTTTAGAAATTTCGCGAGACTATTAAAGAAACTATTACATCATCTTGAAAAAATTATTGTCATTTATGGAAAAATATAAATGCAGCAATGGCAAATTTTGTAATTTCACATAATTGTTAATGCATGTGTCAATATTATTATTGAATATTTTGACGTTGAAATAATATCTTCCAGGATATTTAAGACACATAATGAAAAGTAAGTCAAAGCAACAATTATGGAACTATAATTTTTCTTTTAAATTGAAGCTTGAAACCTGTATTTGAAAGTACTATTAAGAGATTTTCGGTTTAACAATCGGAAAATACAACAGTAAAATCTAAAAGGGAAATTCGAGTATCGAACGCAATTTCACCGCAAATATGATCTTACGTACTATATAATCTCACTTTAACACATGACCCCTCCCTCACATACGAAATTTTAAACAAACCCCCGTAATAACATCAGGAATGGCCAACATCAGTCAAAGAACAACAATAATTGAAGAGTTTCTTTAAAACGCTGCAATATCGAAAGAAAGAAATCGCAGACTCAATTTTTTTAAATTACAGGTGAACGACATCAATGACACAAAATAATTCAACTCCACATGCGTTGTCAAATATTGATAATTTTTTAATTTTAGACATGTACCGTATATTGAAGCGTTTTCTGTCGTAGAAGTGTATTAAATAAAAAATTCTTGAATAGTATTTCAAAATTGAGGCTAAGAGAAGGCTTTAATTTAAAAGAAGAATCATTGTCTTATGATAATGAAGTTACTGAGTAATCATCCTTCAAACTTGGCCAATTTTTTACACAAATTTCTTCATGCCATAATTTTTCTTAATAGTATACACAATATTTTTATTATACAAAATGTCTCTTTTTCTTCCGATCTCACAAGCAGATCTGAGTGAAGATAAGAAATAGCTTGAGAAATGCCTTGTTACAAAATTATAATATAAATAACAATGTGTCTGTATGATTCTTAATTTTTTACACATTGAAATTCTTCTACGGGAAGGTAAACTAAAAGATGAATGACTCCAACTCTAATTCCTTTCCCATTTTTTATGCGTTACTGTGTAATTTATAAAATTGTTAGTTATTTCATTGAATATGTTGCATCTGTTCAGTGAACATCACTAACGACTAATTGCTTTCTTTTCTCTGATATTTAATCAATTTCTTAGTTGTTGTTGCATGCAACCCTTGTTTTAATCCTACGTTCTCGTCACGAGTGTAGCTTACGGGCACGGCAACGCACTAGGTAGTTGTCGCTCCTCTGGCCGCCCGTTATACTGGCATTCTGATTGATCGGGTTTTTTTGTTAATAACTTTCGACAACCAGACCTCGGACAACATTTTTACAAAAGATAATATTATTTAAAATAATCTCAGGAGCCTCCCATTTTCGGGCGTAGTATTAATTCTGCGACACCCTGTATATGGGTGATGTAAATTGTGATTTGTAAGTAATGTCAATTGTGATTTTCAATTCCGGTTATAAAAACGTTTTTATGATTTTTTCTTTCTGTCACTTGTGCAGTACTACAACCTTACAGATTGTGCAGAAAAGAAATAGGGAGAACCTGTGTGTGCAGTAAACACTTGCGATACCGTTATCTTTCCGATAAAACTTTATATAACTTTTCCTTTATGAATCCTGAAGTCATTGACAGATTGGATACATTTAGGTTTTAAAAAGTTGCATGTCCTCTACAAGTTGCTAATTAGAAAAAGATTTAAGACAAGAATGGCTGTAATATTAAGGTTGTATGAGCTCTTGAATAAAAGTAATGACAAAACATTCAGATTTAACAGTTATTAGGTATTACATTAATAAAAGTGGTATAACGTTATGCAAAATTTCGCGAAGTTATTAAAAAAAAGATTACATCTTGCATTCTTATGTTGAATGGCAAAATTTTATTTAGTTTATGAAAAAATATAGGTGCCACAATGAGAAAATTTTGTAATTTTATATAATTATTTATACATGCTGTAGGAATATTTTAAAGTTGAAATAATATCAACTTCAAGGATATTATTTAAGATACATAATAAGAAGTAAGCATAAGCAATAATTATGGGATTTGTAGTTATACAGGGTGTCCCAGAAAAGGTGTTGGAGCCGAAAATGGCAGATTGGGAGGGTCTTCCTTAACAACAATTTCCTTTGGCAAAATGCAGAATGGGGCTTGGTTACCGAGTTATTAACAAAAAACACGGACCAATCAGAGCGCTCGGTCGACGCGGGCTCCGACTCGGGAGCGTTGGCTCGGATCCGACCGCGCGGCTTTTCACGCATTTGAACAAGCGCTCCGCTCAGTACGAAGCGTTTTATAAACTGCATGAATAACAATGCAAGGAAATTGTTGTTCGTGCGTTATTATGAATAACAATTAATACACTTAATCGTTATTCACGTGGATTAGATGGTGAAATGATAGATTGTTGATAATTAATGGATGATGATAGGATAAATGAGGAACTAACAAGTCGCAGGAAATATTGAATTAAAAAGAAAATGCAAAGACTGTAGAGATTAGACTTACCCATTAATCCGCAAGTGCACCTGCTCACAATGAGCCACGGTCAGTGGGTCAGCGTCCTTGCCGCTCGCAGGTAGGCCACAGCTGATCCTCTGTTCAGGGAAGGAACCCCGCAATTCACCGCACGATCATTGTCACTCTTCAAAATTTTAACACACTAAGATTGTTGCTCCTACGTTCTTAAACTCAACTTCATTACACCACCGTCACTCTTCACTTAAAAATTTTCAAACACTTACACTGCACTTGTTCGTGCACTCTAACATTAAACGTATCCGACAGGAGCCGATTGTTTTTCATTCACTAAATGAACTTCACTATCCGTGAACTACACGATGCGCGAAGGGCGCGACTCGATCGGGGTGACGCTCTTTTTATCGGAATCGGCGGATAACCATCTTCGCGTTA